CACACGGGAGTCAAAAAGTTCTGCCCCAGCGATTTAACCATTTCATTGGGGATTTTCAGAATAATTTCACTGTGAAAGGTTCTTATAAAGTGTCGATAAACGTTTGTATGTGATTATTTTTCTAATAATTATCATAAATAGTAATTATTTCTTTAAAAAAATAAGTCACTAATGAAGCTCAGGGGTCATAAAACAAGAAAAAATGGCAGCAAAATTCTCCCCGTCGACATTTTTATTGTTTGATATCCTGACAACACTTGGTATTAATTTCAAGCGCGTACTGTGAGAGAAAGTACCGCCAACTTTTTCTTGAAAAGTTCAAAATAGTGCAGATGTGTAAACTGAGAAAACAACAAAAAACAAATGTTCGTTGTGAAACAACACATTTTTGTCTTTTGTGAAATTTTGATATTTAATTGGTATTAGGATTGTGCAACCATTTGTCTTGTTTTTTTTATTAAAACAAACTGCAGGGTGAAATCAGCGAAAATGTTTGCAAAAATCCATTGCACTGGTCTGTCAACATGGTGTCATATTCACTTCATTAATTCTAATGTTTTGTTATGCTGAACATGGGCGGGTCATCCTACTCAAGTATATTTACTGATTATTTAATCGCATCTAGTTTATTTGCGAATTAGGTGAACCAAACCATTAATAGGTTTAAGTTTAAATTATCAATACAGTTAGAACTTTAGACATTTTTGTTTAGTTGCGACTGCAGTTACAACTACGCTGTCTAACGCATTCCTGAGAAATACATTTCCTGCACTGTCACCAAATTAACATATTCACGTAATTGCGATTTTCAACGCATCTCCGTTGGGTCTATTAAATTGTTTTGGCATGGTTACTATTAACTGTGGTTTTGGTTACTGTCTGCGTCACATTCATCTGTTGTTGTCACCATGGCAAGGGAAGATAAACTACAAACTGAAACAACAAGTTGTGAAAAAAAGATGTACAAGAGAAACACTTGTAAAAGCATACAGTGTACAAAGACCTCAGGAAAACCAATAAATATTTCTTTTGTCTGAGCAAAGGCGAAACACTTTTGTTGACTGGAAGGGGACAGGAAATAGTATTGCGTGATGGATGTACTGGATGTGTATTGCGTGACACATCCAGTTTAAAAACAAAGCTGGCACGTGCCTATCCATTTACAACATTGAATTTTCAAATGAGCTCATAATATCTACAATGACTGGAATGGGTCAGGAAGTCGTCAGTGTAACCACAGTCACTCTACTAGTAGAGTGACTTGGGCTACTCTACTAGTAGAGTGACTGTGGTGTAACGCCTGATACATTATTTTTGAGACCGAAGACGCATCAGCTCTGTAGGTGCTGCCACATCAATTGTCTGTGACAGTACAACAAAAATAGCACGAAGAATTCACGTTACGTCTGGGTTTGAATATTCCTTGCAGCGGTAAAATCCTGGTGCAACCAAACAAACTTTGTCAAAAATCCTCCAAAGAAAAAAGATATCCTGTACCAAATGATATGCGTGTTGGGGACTATTTTTTGCCTCTGACGTTACAAGCTAGAAATAATAAAAGAAAGCCGTGCAATCTGAATCTAGCGGCTATGTGCCCTTTCAGTGTAACGCAAAATACGCCATCAGCAAATCAGCACCGGCGCCATAACAGTACAGACTTGGGCTTGTTTCTTTATGTTTTTTTTAAACCATTATTTTTAAACCAGACTCCACTAATCTCGTCGATCACAAAATTATGACAAGCGGTCAAACGCTTGGCCAATCAAAAACGTCACACAATTAGACGCTTGTAAGAACTGAATTTACTTTCCAACATGGTGGAAGCATGCCGTTTCAACTCTGTGGCTGTCGCATTCTCTGATATTATTGCTTATCATAGATATTCACAATATATATTTACTGCTCGATGACTATATAATTATCCAGCAAAACAACTTTATTGTTGCTCGTGAATGAAACATTTTTTTTCGGTCAAAGCTGTACTTGGTGCGACGAACGCCAGTGGTCACAGCTACTCAAGGTAATCAGTAAAGTGTACCTGATATACACATACTGAAAACAAGTTGTATAGCGATATTGATGGTGAATTAATAGGATACAAATTATAATAAAATAAAATAGGTGGGCGAATTAAGAGACCGTGAAGTGATAGTAGTGTAAATAGCTGCTCCAACGATGGAGTCTGTCCATGTCTTCCACTAACCGAACTCCACCTTTCTTTCAAAAACGACAAAGCAGCACGTCGCTACTTTGCTCATTTACAAGCTTCAAATTCACTAAAATTAGTGAATGTTTGTCACTCGGGTGCGTACTTCTTCATCATTAGAAACGACACTGTCGCTGTCACTATACAAATCACTCTTCTCCATACAAAAGTTGCGTCTTCTAAATCATCTGAAACAGGATTTAATTTTCGGCTGTACACACTCAGTCGGAACACTCTCTTTTCACTCATGTGTTCAAATTCCATTTTTTGACAACCTCTCCTTTTTCTCATGTTAAAATGATGTTGCTTTGCTTTGCCGAAAAAAGGTGTTGGTTGTGCGTTCGCTCTTCCAATAATGAATGTGTGTATACGGAAACTGTTGACACTGACAATATAACGGAAACTGATAAGATGGGCCTTTATTTACAAAAGCAAACAGCCAAGCTGTAGAGACAACAGATTACTTGAAGCAATGTAATGCTATTGTTCACAATATGTTCATCATTTGGATTATGTAAGTGGTTGTTTGCATTTTAATTGGCAAATGGAAGTCAGCTTGCTATGCTCAGTTTTCTCTCCAATTTACGTCTAAAATAACATTAGTACTATTTTTTTTGTTAGTTGTACTGAAAGAATACACTAAAAAAAGTGATATACCGATTATTAAAAAAACATTAAAATTTGACCAGATTTTCCCTGTTGCTACCTTAAAAAGATGTGTAAATGACAATTTTAGTTCACCATGTGACAGATGAAGA